TTTTTATTTTATTTTTCCTAAGTAATTATCGTTATATATATGAAAAAAAAAACTTCAGGGCTTAAGCCTCCCACCCCCCCCCCCAAAAAAAAAATTCCTGGATCCGCTAGTGATGTATATTATATAATATTTGTGTGCATGAGGTGCGAGTTTCCTACTGTTCATCATTCGTGTAACTCACTGGATTATTTACTTCTTCCGTAGGATGGTAAAATAGTTTTCTCCACAGTGCTCCCTTCAGATTCAAAAATATACGGATAACCTACCTAGATTTCTAAAATCTATATATTTCCATGAAGGCCATCAGTTTTCTTACAATACATTGGATGAGGAGGCTTTCATTTTTTCATTGTTAATCTTTCTTCTGGATATTGTATACTAGTACTCCCTTTGAAAAACAAAATATATGTTGTAATTTGATAACTATGAAATTTCACGTTGAAATGTTGAGGCACTTAATGGCTCAACCACGCTGAACGTGATATGCCCCGGCGTTCAGCGAAATTTTTGTCTGTATCGCGCTCTTTGTGACTGCGGAATAGTACAACTATATAATACAACTATATCACCAAATCGCCGCCGGAACAATATCGTATCGCCGGGACATACATATGACGATACGATATTGGACGGCACTGGGCATCACCTGTGCTCTGGCTTGATTCAGTTACATGGTTGTATGTGGAAGGAGATCTCCCATCAAGCTCCTTTTTAATTTCGTCATGAAATTCCGGGATCGGCAGGTATTAAAATTAAGCAATTTGATGATGATATTCTATTTTTCATTTTTCAGACTTATTGTTATTATTGACTCTACATGTATATTCTTCATTTCACTCTTCCAGCGTTTATTCGATTTGGTACTGCTTTCTACATCAGGCCTCAACTTGCGTTCGGTTTAACATTGAATGCAGTTTTCTTATTCTTTGTTAATTCATATTTCTTATTCAACCAGCAAATGGCCCGACTTTTCAGAAAATAATGACATGTCATGCATGGGGAAGGACAGTACTCAGTAACACTTCTCGCATTGCTTGATCCAATTACTTCCGGCGCTCTGTGTGCATGGGTCTCTATTGTTCTAAATTACATAATTCTCAGTCGCACCAACCATAACGTAAAATTCTTCAAGGCTATGTTTCAAGTATTGTTAACAATATTGAATTAAATTTTTAAAATTAATACGGAAATGCAATGAGAACCGCATGAAAGATACACGGTCGTTTTGATATTGGATATGCTAATTGTATATGTAAAAAATCTCTTGTATTTCACACATCCGAAACAAAAGAAAGTTGTTCTGTAAATCTTTGCTACTAATTCAGTATTTTAAAGCTGGTATCTCAAAAACTTCGTAGTTGGAATCTGTGATATCTTTTCTATTCATTTTTTTAATTACTATTATTTTTTTGTACTGTTAATTCTGAGCTAAACGCTATCCGGATGCTTGAATTGATAACGATCCATTTGGAGAAAACAAGTTTGATACACGATTCATTTTTTAGTTGATGTTTAGTCTTTATCGTCCTTTATACTTCCTCAGTGTTTATGCTTGATTCCTCAGCGTCCCCTTTGTTCAGGTTTACGGGCCTTGACAATCGGCCCAAAAGTTTTATGACGGAAGTACTAGGCACCTCTCCCCCCTCGGATTTACGACCAGATCCTTGCCCCCCCCCCCTTTGTGACTGAATAAATCTTAAGAATGCGGTCATAAAAGTCAATTTTTTCGGTCCCAATTTATATCTTTAATTTGTTACGGTTTCGGCTTTTGGAGTAGTCGGTTAATTACTTGTATTAAACAAAAATCGGTCGTTTTAAGTGGCGTTTTCATGTTGCGATGCTACGGAGCAAGACGTAACCTTGGAAGCATAGTACGCAGACGGTCGTACTGGTGGAGCAAATGATGCGTCCCGCTAAGAGGATAAAAGACTGGTGGGTGGCAGATGTAATCCTGTAAGGGTCATTGTCATAGTAGTTTCAGTTCTGGCCTGGACAACACTTGATGCGGAATAAATTTGAATAATGAAAGCCCGTAAGCGGCTCTAGTCATTACTAGGGGTTAGTTACTAATCTCCCCAACGGCTCTCCCTCTATAAATATAGCCAAGCAATAAATCACTGGTCCCCCTTCTCTCCCAGGCCTGCGTCCCTCAGATAAAACTTATTCCTATCAATTAAGCAGGGATTTGAAAAATCAAGTCTTCACTTTTTATAACGCTGGAGAATATATTTTTTTGTTTATATCGAAATCCCTTGGATCAAACCTTAAATGTTTATAAGATATTTTTAAAACTTTTATCTTCATCAGCAGCTCTTTCAAAAATACATTATTCCTAGCACTCCACTTTCACTTTTTATAATAGGATAGAACGAAAAACAGTTATTTGGCGGACACCTTTTTCATACATAATCACTATCAAAAGTTGCCTTCTTATTTCAGCAAAAACACTAAACAATTTTTTTGTACTGTACATATCTCTTAAGGTTCCGGAAGAGGCTTAAAAATTTAGTTTATGTACGGACAATTTAAATTTTTCTTCACTTTAGTTTTACATTTTTTTTTTAGCAAATATAGTTTTAATAAATATCAATAGACCCTTATTTACTGTAATAACAATGATATGAAGTTTGTGTGCACTAATACATAATGATGATTGATAAACAATGATTTGGTTTGACAATAATTCGCCAAGAATTATTTATTGTCGATACCTGCCTTTCTGCCATTTTATCACGATCCAATCTTTCTTCATGGCTTTATAACAATACTTCAACCGATAATTTTTCTAAAATTTAAAAATAATGTTTTACTTTAAAACTTTTGAAATTGGTAATGTTAAATTGCAAACGTTAAATTTGTCGTGATATCATTATGGATACCAAGTATTATTACCTCTTGGTAATATAATAATATATATTGTTTAGTAATCAACTTCCTTTCTCCAGTAGTACAAAAAAAAAAAAAAACTAAAATTAAGGTAAAATTATTTAATTAATTGAATTAAGAAACTAATTACACAAGAAACTTTGAAATATTTGACTACATTCTCACCCCTGAATCGTTCAGAGAATTCATCAACTAAACACCCGTGTCAAGGAAGTACTGTTATTACATATTTGTGTTTTCTTAAAATGAGTTGGATACATGGCGTAGGCGAGAAGGAATTCATCACTCAACTCCCCCCTCAGACGCACCCCCTGATACAAAGGGCTGTGGATATTTGTATTAATTTGGCATTCTTCGGCCTCTCCCTCCTTCCGTCAAGTTGGAATTCCCTGTAGCAATCAATGAGTTTTGTAAACTGTTGAGAATTTGTATTTATTCAAATGAGAAGGAGCCTAAGGAGTTGTTTCCGCGGTGGACTCCAACCCTCCCCATCCTTTTATCATTCTCTTGTTGAGATTTTCAGAAACATTGGGCCCTCACAAAAGTTTTAAAATAATATCGTGATTTAATCGATGAGTTTCTGTTGGACTTGTTAACTCTGAAGACACGACACCGTCGCTATAATCAAAGAAATGCCATTACTCGGACGACTTACGATCAGAAATGACAGCCGCTAGAGAAAATACAATGTCCTCGGTTCCGAAATACAATTATAAATAGATTGAGTGACAGTGGTCTCGAAACGGGTGAAGGAAGGTCGAAGATGACTCGCTGAAAAGTCGAACGGCTGAGGAAGAAAGAATCCGACTCATTACAGCTAACAAATGGTACTATTCACTCCTCCTTCACCGTCGTCATCAGCTGTTGAAAGGGTTCTTGCAACAATGGGCCACTTTCCTTAACAAATAAATCTATAAAGTTTTCGTTGTTGTTTTTTTTTTGTTCGAGTATAATTTCTGGTCACTTATATTTTTGATTTTGGATAAAATTAATAGGGATCGAAATGAAAACTGAACCATTAGCAAAATCAATGCAACGGACAAGTTCTTATACTTAGCGCTATTTCATTTATCGATTAAATCCAGCAAAGGTGGACAGTTATTTTGTTGAGTTTAGGAACGACCTAATGGATTCCATCGTAAGGTTAACACTCCTTGAATGTTACAATACACATGGAAATCAAAACAATATTTGTAAGGAAATAATTACCAACTGAAGTATTGAATTTCAAGTCAACAATAAATATTGATAGGAAGTAAACTAAACGTAAATGTGTAAAGTAAATTGATAAATTAGAACCCTGAGGTTATAATCAGGTTACATCCAGCGTATCTATCAATCTCAAAACCTGATGGAACCGTTGAACCATCGGTGAGTCAATTGCTGAATAAAGCAATTCTATCCACGATTTCCATCGAACAGTTTGGGAACAGTCATGTCTCAAATTTTATACCATTAATTTATTCCTTTAAACAAATCTGGGATATAAATTTCTGGTAAATTTGGCGCCCGTTTCTAATAATCTGGAATAGAAATAACCATTTAATGTAAAGTCACATGTTTTCTTTTAAATCTTGTAAGTGGGAATGGAAAGTATTTTATTTTATTGACTGGGTAGTTATATGACTGTCTTCAAGATCGCCAAGATTGTCATACCCGTTATCTGCACAGCTCTTTTTTCATAGCTTTCATGATTTTTTAAAAATGCGGAATTTCATGACGTTTTATTCAACTGATATAAATATTTGTATTAAACGTTTAAATTTGTTTCATTATTATAAATTCAAAATGAAAATTTGATTTTAGTTACTAGTCCATCTAGGATAATTAGTGGAATTATTGTTTTTAATCTTTGTAAAAAAGCGTCATTTCTCAAAGCGTTAATTATTTTTCTAATATAGTTGAATTAACAAGTTTTAACCTTTAAAGAAACGAAGTTCATGGAACGAAAATCGGTATTGAGTTTATGTAACAAGTTATTAGTTAATCGGAAACTTTCCTATTTTTTATTTAGGGTTGCATTAAAAACTCGAAATCGTCTAATCAGTTTCTGGGAGTAAAATAGGAAATAAAATGCCACTCCAGTAGGATTATTCAAACGAAGAACAAGCAGCTTATAGGGTATTCCAGATTATAGCGATATCTTGGGTAGCTTGTTGGTACGGGATATAGGGATGACCTATGTCCATCGCAGGGCCATTCGATGGGCCGTATCTTCCTCGTACTTGAGCCTTCGGAATCCCGCTCCAAGAAGGAGCAGTGATAAATGGGAACTGATAAAAAAGAAAAAAAAAAAAGGAGAAGGCCGGGGATGTGTGGTGATACAAATCCTCCAGGTTCCGGTGGGCTGGTCGTTTTGCCGATTGGGGTTTCCTGGGCAGAGATAATATTCTGCCACTAGGCCCGCAAGTTATTGATGGTTCCACCCCCAGGGCCACCCCCGTCCAATTATATTGAATATTTGCTACATCCACCCCCTCTCCAGCCCACCGTGATTTATTGCCTTGTATATACGTCTCGCTAGAATGCCCCCAAGTATGGCCGCACGCAGTTTCCGACATGGGGCTTACACAAGGGGAAACCTTGTCTGCCGGCACAACATGAAGCCGTAATATTCATATGAATAGGGACTTGGCCGTCTTGAGAAATAAATCTCGTAGGGAATAGCTCATACAACGGGCCGGAGGGACCGGAAAAATATTACATGAACATTATTTCGGAACCACTGTTTCTCAAATTGGTGGATCATTAGTAAGGATATTTGTGTTACTGACAATTAAACCTATAGCGTGTACTTGATTGACACTGGGATAAATAATAACACAGACTCATGTCTGTATTTGAAGGGTTCCGGAGAAAAACAGTCTTAACTCATTTTTCAGATTTTTCGAAGAGAGAAAAAGAGCAGCTTATCTTTTTGTTTAACCTGTTGTCAAAGATGAATAGAATAAATTAGCAGAAGCAATAATCACACATTATCTCAAAAGTAGACACAGATATATTATTGTAAAATGTGACTCAGATCACTGATGTGACAAAAGTGTAATGATTTCTCTCGGTAATTGTTATTCATAATTAGTAATTTTACAGATAATTATTAACTTTTGGGATAATCCTTTTTCGGATCTTTGTTACAATACTCCATCCCGTGATTTTTTTTTTTAGCGTTGCAGTGATAATTAATAACCTTCAGTAACTTATGGTACAGTTAGTTTGTAGTTGTCCACTCATTTGTCCAACAATACCAGTATAAGTGGCTTACATAAAGTTAATTTCGTATTTTCAAACCATATTTTCCAGGCAGAGAGGGTCCGTTGTAAATGGAAATTTTAGACATTGGATATCCATCACTTCTGACTCACGTTCATTTGGTCACCGTTATTAAGTATTCTATTGTGTATTATTCCCTTATCTTGAAATATTGTGAAGGCTTTTGTTTCATGATTATTAAGAGCAATATACAAATTCACTGGATTCATTTTCTAATAATAATTTTAGGATGGTATCATACAGATTTCTATATAGTTATTAATAGTCACAGTTACACGAAATAAAGAATCACGTGAAAGGATCATTGTCAAAAAGACTCCATCTGTCCTCAGGTTTATTAAAATAACAATTCTATTTCCGTGACGAACCCTTATTATGTTTACATAATATTTTTCAGCCATGCCGGACTTGTTGAAATATAAGAAGATATATATAAATTGAAATATGCTTTCAGAAATAACGAAGGGTGATCTTCGCCTTATTTAATTATAGAATTCTATTGTACCCGTCACACAATTTTAGTAACGCTATTCCACGACGTCGGGATTTAAATAGAAACTATTTTTAAGTTGGGAGAAACGCCTTGTACGAGGAAGCTTCAAAACACACCGCATTCCTCCAATCCAAGATCATCTTAAATATTTATATTATTAATAACAGGGCAATTTTAGAGATTCTTTATTTATTGCTATATCGATATTATTATTTTTTTTTTTTTCATAGAACGTGAATGCCAATTGTCGCTTTAGTGAATAGAGTTTAGACATAAAATTGTCATTTATTTAATATATTTCTTATTTAATAGAATTTTCATATTTTAATAGTTTTTTATATCATTCAGGTATTCATCCTCTCGCTTTTCGTAGGCCACTAGACTGAAATAGGAGCTTGGGAGACAGCAGATGTTACAACACATGCTCCCCTAACACATTAACGGCTCTAGTATTGTCTTTTTGTACCAATCCAAATGGCTTCACGTTTTCTTACCTGAATAAAGGTGTGAATAAGGTTCTTCACTTGATTATCGCCTGTTATTGGCAAAGGGTAATGGGTGGTTACGTCTTCGACTGTTGAATTTATAATTATTTGATTATTATGAGATTCTTATGAAAACGGTTTGTATGTTGAATAAGAAAAATAGGCAAATTGTTAGTCTATTCTTTTCAAATGGTTTATTCATCAACCTTCGAATTAAAATGAAATGCTCATATGAACACTTATTTGAACGCACTCCTTTAAAAAAGTTTCAACGTTTGATTTTATATGATTTCTAGTGTTGCACAAATGCGAGACCGAGACGAGTCTTGGTCATAGTCTTGGTCTTGCGCAAGAGTCTCGCAACAGTCTTACAGTTACTTATTAACTAATTAATATAGAAATATTACTGCAATTTTTCAGATAGGAGAAACCTAACTAAGCCCAAATGAAAAATTTGAGGAGTTAAATGCAAAAGTATATTGGTTATACCAATTCTTGACACATAGTAGCTAAGATTGTCAAGTATTACTATTTTGCCTTAATTTTTTTTACCATTCCTGGTCTTGGTCTTACAACAGTTTGCGTCCTTTGTCTTGGTCTTGCAAAGTACAAGACCAAGACCGATTTTGGACAACACTAATGATTTCATAGGGTGTTGGTATATTTATTAAAATAATTATGAGAAAACAGCTTTACACCTAATTTCGCAATAACAATTTTAAACGTAATAATTATATTTTGGGTATGATTTAAAAAATTCTATTTATATTTATAATATTTTCGAAAATTAAAAATTAACACAGTAGACCATAATTCAACAGAAAAGAAAAAAAAAATATCAAACAGGTTGTGCATATTTTTCTAGAATTTATTTACCAGGTAGTTCATGATGAACTTTTTAACGTATCAAATAATTATGAATAATTCTACTTTTAGAATAATATAGAAAATTGATGATTTTATGAAAACCTTCCAATGAATCCTGGAAAAATTAAGCATTTTCGTGACTCGAAACTTAACTATTATTATCCAGATAAACCCGATTGAAATAATTTTAGTAGTGGATTGATGGTTATGGACAGTATTGAAAATTTAAGAGAAGTTGAGGTGTTCAGTCAAAAAAATAAAAAGTGAAAATAAATAAACGATATTTATTGTAATTTTTGCCAACGTTTCGGCCCAAAATTCAGGCCGTCATCAGAGCTGATCGTACGGAAGGTTTCCGTAAGATCACGAGAAATTATTTTAAACTAGCTTATTATACGATTTTATTTTTCAAAGTTGAGGTGATGGAATAGTTCTGGTTGTCATTCACTGTCTCCATGTCATCAAACATGAAGGCAGTGCTATGAAGGGCTTGGGATGATCAACACTTAAATTTTCTAAATAACAGCCGCAGAACTTATGCTAATTCGATCGTTACTAATATTTTTTTTATTTAATTACTGTTTCTTAGGCAATTATTGTGATGTAGGGAATAAAAGAGGGTTAATTGAGTTGACCATTAATAGCTACCGTTGTCATGGAAGCGGCCAACTTAATAACAGCCCAATTAGTGAGGTATATAGTCCTATATAATTAAAATATATATATGTACATATATGTGTATTTAAATGGTAGGCTTCAACTAGACTATTTTTTTTTTAACATGATGATATAATTACATTGGCGCTTGTTAACGAAAACATAAATTATACCCTTGTAAGAAGAATTCCAAAGACGAGATCTAAGACATTTTTTTTTTATTAATGATAAATAAAATGTTATTATTATCAATAAATTCTCTCTTAAAATTTCTCATAATTTTCTATTTTCTATCAGATAGCTGTTTTTGTCCTCTGTCAGAAATTCATTTCAATGGTATTCTTTACGGAATTGAAGATATCATTTTATTCTTGGACCCCTCTTATTGGATCATTGGATTGTTCGGAAAATAATGCAGAATTTAATTTTTGTTTCCATTATTTTGATGCTCTATATAATAAACTATTTACATATGAGGGATTAATCTCTCGTACGGGTGTCAACACTTATTAATCCTCTTCGGAATAAAAACGTTTTTTTCCCTCTGTAATAATAAAATGATAATAATAAATAAATGAAAATAATTCAATCTTTACTGAGATTTCAAATTGTGATTGTCGCTTAATTTCTTTGGGATAGAAATTAATGGGATTTCTTAATTTAAACTCGGTCGGAACGGGGCCTTAAAGGAGTTCAATATATAACGTTCAATGATGAGCCTTGAAAACAATCATGGTCGTAGAAAGAACTTCTCTTCATTAAGATGTTCTGAGAACTTTGGTCGAAGAGAATCCCAGAACTGTTCGAGACCATGCAGAGACACTCTCAGTTAGCGGACCGACCATCGCTGACCACTTCAACGCAGTTGGAGAGGTAAAAAAACTTGAAACATGAGTTCCTGATGCATTAAACGACCTCCTAAAAATTTTTCTTTATGGGGTTTGAGCTGCACTCTTTTGCTGAAACTGACACAAACCTCACCCATCAAACTCTCCAGACTTCTTGTCTAACAACTACCTTTTTTTTTTAGAAATCTGAGCCATTTTTTCAAATGCGAAAATTTCGTTAGTAAATGCATTTTCGTATTAAGGGTTCAACATTTTATTCAGACAGAATAGAAACGTTACCAACATGTTGACAGATATTTATCGAATTAGAGCGTATTTTAATCCATAAAAATAGTTCCTTACCGTTTATTTTACTTAAAAACAATAAATCTTTATTAATTTCCGTACTATCTTATCCTATAGTAATAACATGCGCATGTGAGGGCAATGGAAATTATTTTTGTTTTCCTTGAGTCAGTGCCGTATGATATGTTTGCCGCATCATCTTGCCAGGCAAAGCCTATATCCCAGCTAATAGAGAACAATCTAAGGTCAGGGTGAAACCAATGATGTCTGGAGCCACGCTGGAAGAAAAACAATTGCCGGAGATGACTCTGTGGATCAGGGCTAATTTTGACAAGCGGTCCATCAAGAGCAGATCGTAACGACAAAATAAAAATTAAAGAAAAAAGATGGATTGCGTTCAAAAATATGACCACAATAATATTAAATGTTGGAATAGTTAATAGTTTGGCCTATAGATTATCAACAAATTAAACAAATGTCTAATGAACATGAATGATAAAATTATAATGAAAATTAATAAAATGTTATTTATAAAATCCATTTGCAAGGGGTGTGGTTTATGAAATCCATTTTATATCGGACAAACATCACACAATTTACATAGTAGAATTAATCAGCATAAACTGAACTATGAAAACCCCAATAATATCAAAACT